GGAAGTAAAATTTCTTTATCTTGTTACCACTGTGGTCAGATCATCCGTGCAATTTGTTTGAACAGCATTTCCCCCTTAACCAGGAAACATGGAGGATACGGCGTAAAGCTTCTGGGCTCCCAACCAATGCTCCCTCTAAGCTCTGGAGTCTTGTGAGCAAAAATTCTACTTTGTGAGCTACTGGCATTAAAGTTGGGAGCGAGCAATTTGGCTGCTGCATAAATTAGTTTGCTCTGGAGCCATCCCCTTCCTGAGCTAAGACAAAAATGTGTGAGCCGGAAGTGAAAAAGCTGTGAGCTAGCTCACACTAACTCAGCTTAGAGGGAACACTGCTCCCAAGTCAAATGATTTTTTTACACTTAACCCAAAAATAATGTGCCCAGAGCACAACAGCCTCAGTTTGGTCATTTCAGCTTTTACGGAGAATTGAGGCTCGATTTGTTCTAGAAACTGCTGATGAGTCTGAGGGTCTGAAAAGATGGGCTATGGAAAAAAACCCCAAGCACAGCCAACAATTAGAAACCAATTTATTTTCTTAAGTTGGCATTATACAATTTAAAGCAACAAAAAAACACAACAATCACAAGACATGAAATGATAAAAAAATGACGTTATCAAGCACAGCCGTGTGAACACCAAACAGCACACAGCTTCCTCGCAAACCTGAAGATACATATGGCTGAGGTTTCTTGAAATCTAATTGAAGACACTACATACAGACATGACGACGGTAACACATCCATTAACGATAGTGAATAGACTACGATAGCCACTTCTGCCTGGGTTTTCTTTTTTTCTCTCTTTTTATATAAAAAGCCCCTTTTCTATTCCTTACTTGTTTAACAAAGCAATAAATACTATTTTCACCTTCCTCCCCCCACCCCCCAAAAAGAAAAGTTTGTTTCATGCTACATGCAGTTAAGATTGGGGAGGCGGGGTGGGAATTAAAAATCACTACCCGGGTGGTCAAAGACACCTCCGTTCTTTTATTATTTTTAATCCAAGCACAAGTGGCTACAATTTCAAGTATTGAGAAATATATTTATATATATATATATATATTTATATATAGGTTGAAGATCTGTAAACCACATATCTGGGGAGTGGGGAAAGCAATGCCTAGCTTGAATGCAGCCAACTTTGATACATTCAAGTAACTAAGTAGAGCTGGGAAGTTAGTGCCAAGCTGGCAGAAGGGATGCGGGTTAGTTAAACCTGTGTCTGGGGGCAAAAAAACCCCCAAAAAAGAAACCTGCTAGTGTCTAAATCCCGCCTTTCCCTAAGATGGGGGGGGGGAGAGAGAAATGGGGCTGTTTATTTATGAAGCAAACCCTGGAGCGAAGCTGCTGGCACAGCTAGTGGAGAAACCAGTGGCATCTGCAGGATCACAAAGAAAAGCTTTTAGTGAAGCAGGCACCCACGGTGTACCCACGGTGACGTCAGCTCGTTAATGCGTTTCCGGACAGTTCACGTGTTCGGCTCTGTGTGCCTGCACACTTCTTACTCAACATAACCCGCCGCTATCCAAGATGGGGGCGCAAGGTACGGATGGTGATGGGCTGGTTAGTGTCTGGTCAGTTCAAATAAAATGTTTTCCGGTCACTAAAATGGCATCCTCAATGAACTGGCCAAGCTAAAATATAATTTTTTAAAAAGAACTATAGGTGGAAAGCGCCATTTTGAAAGGGGCGTTCCTCGATGTGCGGTGAGTGGGGTTTCCGGTACGGCGCAGTGAGCGAGTGGGCACCCTTCGGAACTCCCAAACTGCCCGCTCCCCTCTTTGCTCTTTTGATGCTTTCCCAGCTCACCGGGGGCATCGCCCAACCTCCTGGAGGGAGGTGGGTTAGCAGGAGGCTGCACTCGGTCACCTCCCACACCCGGCAAGTGTGGGGGTGAGCTGTTTTTTGCCTCAAAGGAGGAGCGACCGAGGGAAAGAAACATGGCTCCCATGTTTTTCATTAGCTGCGACCAGCCGTTTTTAAAGACCGTTTCGTTCATGGGGTTTCTTCTTCTTCTTTGTTTCGTCTTGCAACAAAAGAAACGTGTGAGTACGCAATTGCTCGCTTCACAATCTGTGATGACCCTCATTAAATGACCCCCACAAGATTATCTCAAACTTTTGAAACGTATAAGCGGCCATGGAAAGGAATGGAGCAAGTGATAAGGAAATGGCGTTAATTGGGGGAAAGGAAGAAGACGAAAGGGGCGTTCCTCTTTGCTTTCACAAAACAGGGTGTGCCTCTTCTGTGGCCTACATGCTCACCATTAAGAAAAACACACTGCAGGCTATCAGTGCTACCTTAGAAGAGGCCATCTGCTCCTCTCTCACACATATGGGGCTTTTCTGCACTCTTTATTTTCACTGTTTGTGTGCCCGCATTGTGTCGGGCATTTCCCCTTTTCCCCACATTTTGCTCTCTCTAGTGTGTATCACGGTATGTCCGGCTTATTTCCCTGCACTTTAAAACGGTGGGGAAATATGCTGACGATACAGCGATGTAGTATTGAAACAACCACTAGAGGGAGTGAAACATGTACAGATAAGGGGGGGGAACCCCCCAACTCAATACAGGCACAGAAGTGATGAAAATAAGAAGCCCACAGAAGGACGTGCTTCTTTGAAGATTATGGCCACTGCAACGAGGGCTCCCGTTTGCCCGCTTATGGCGGGAGACCTCTAGATAATTGAGGTCTGTGCCCGTCGATGCTTACCTGATCGGTGGGTGGAAACCGAGGCCGGGGGCGGGGGGGGCAGGTAGCATGATTGTCCTGGGGAGAAAAATTAAAAAGAAACAAAAGACCTTGCCTGACCACAGAGTTCCTAGCGATTCCTAGAGCTATCTGGGTAGCTCTAGGAATTGCCAGGAACTCTGTGGTTAGGAGAATCATTTGAAAGGGGGGGATCCCCTCCAAAACTACCTAGTAAATTTAAACTAATTTAACTGATAACCGATTACTATATTAAAGCCTTCATACAATTAACTGGGTGGCAGACTGAAGAGGGAATACTTGAGATTTCCAGCCTGGGCAGTCAGTTTAATTTTGTAGTTCTGGTGAGCAACAGCACTGTAAAGGCAGAGCTTAGACAGGCCATTTCAACATTAAAACAGGATAGGAACGTGAAGAAATCATTCACATGTAATGACTCAAAATGGTTTGCTTGTCACACCAAGAAGCCAGGTGTGGGCTGCCAGCTAATGGGAAACACCTGCCTTTGTGGCCAACCATAGTTTTTATTAATCCAAAACAGAAAAATATAAACCTTGGAACCTACACCATGCTTCTGGTGAGGGAAGGCCCTCGTATTATCGGTGGAGGAGGGGGATTTCATCTGATCCCACCTTTCCACAACAGACCACCACCACCAGTTTGCCCCTTATACTGTTCAGGGGGGTCTAGGAAAGTCTGTGATCCAAGAGCTATGGTCTTCCTTCTTCCCTACACACCATGATTCCAAGCCAGTTAAGTCAGAGTACAAACCAGAGTTTGGTGGTTTGAACGAAACAACAAGCTTTGGTTTGCCACTAAAGTAGAAGTCCTTCCTGTAATGGCTGTCCATGAAGGGGGTGGCATGGCATATCGCATATGGCAGCCCAAAGACCCCCCAAGGCTTTGTCTTCCCATCAGAATCACGCCAAAGCGAATCACGTACAAGAGAATGAATCGCGTACAAGAGAGTACATGCTACCGGTTACAGAGAAGACTTTGGCTTCTATTTATCGAGTTTCTCCCCTCCTCCTCCCAAACGCCAAATATGTTTAATATTTGGTTATATTTGTCAGAACAGAGCATAAGCTTTGGAAAGGGAGACGGAGAAATAGCGGCAGGAACCGGAGAGGAAGATTACTGGTCCCGTGCTTCCTGCTGTGTGGATTTTTCGGGCCACCCACAAAACTGTGAGCAACAGCAGAGCCAACCTTTGGTTTGACTGAACGGTAAACTAACCACCAACAAATGGTGGACCTGACCACAGCAGCGCCTCCAGCGGTAGCGCCATTGACATAACACTTAGGTGAACACCCAAGCGGCCGCGTCAAAGGTCCGCTGTTGCAAGGGCAACCAACATTCCTCTTTGAAACCTCCAAGGACCACCAACCCTTCCTTCTTCTGAACATGGTTTAGGTGTGACAGGCGATGCCACAAAAGTGAGCTGCGGCCTGGACTGGCAGTAACACAGACAGCATGGAAGAGCTGGTGCGGGCTGCAGATTCCATGAAACATGCTAGTTATGCTGACATCCGGATTTTCTCTTGGGTGGGGTTTATTTTTTTCATTTCCCCCCTCCCTGGTGCTTGTCCATTTACTGCCACAGATAGATCCGGCTTCCCAAGTCAATGGGGTTGTTCCTTGCATATTTTTGAAGAGAAAAGAACACGCAATTACAAAAAAATTATATGCCAACGTGCCAGAAAACAAACGACAACAGGAATATTTGCTGGGTGCAAACAAACACATCTGACTTCCCCCCCAAACCTGAAAAGGGAAGGGGTTTTGCTTGCCGAGGAAAGCTTTGCAGCCTGAAAAGAAATACTGCCATAAAGTGGTTCCATTCTATAAAAACCACGCGCACAAAAACAACACCCCCCCCCCAACTACAAGGCAAGACATCTCTCACGCATCAGCTTGCAGCCACACCACACGGACAACACACAGCTGTACAGGTGCAAACACACACACAGCACACCTCCTTTCCTTATTTTGGCTGCGTTGTTGCTTTTAACACAGAAAATCAACGAAGGTTAAAACAGACGGCTAAAAAAAAATCTAATTTTTAAAAACCTGAATAAAATTAAAATGCATTTTGTTAACTCGTACGCAGGGAAGACTGTCAACGGCGTATCCTCTGGTGGTGACGCGAAGTGCCGTCAAGTCGCAGCTGACTTCTGGCGACCCCGTGGGGTTTCCAAGGCAAGAGACATCCAGAGCGGGTTGGCCCTTGCCTGCCTCCGCGTCACGACCCTGGGCTTCCTTAAAGGTCTCCCATCCAAATACTAGCCAGGGCTCACCCTGCTTAGCTTACGAGATGTGACAAGACCAGGCTGGGCTGGTTTTTTTATCCAGGCGCTCATTGTCAGGGTGAGGGGGATGCGGGGGGGGGAGAGCCAATCATAAAAATGTTAAAAGCAAACTTATTCCTTCTATTAGTGCAGCTGGATCCCGGAGTGAAAGTGGGCTGTGCGGCTGGTTTCCTCCTCGCAAGCAGAAGATACAGTACGATTTAAAACAAAACAAAACACGTACGACGCGTGATAGAATATACACATTAATACATATCGACGCCGGGAATATGTATTAATATATATGTCCACGCAAACACACATACACACTCGTAGTGCAATCTTTAAAAAAAAAAAAAGAGATAATACCCAAACCCAACAACCAGTCGATCAACAATATATCAACAAACAGGCAGAAAGGGGTGGGAGAGAAGGAGTTGGGAAATAGCATCCCGAGAAGGGACCGTATCCTCGGATCACTGCGGGACGCAATGCCCAAAGGTCAAGTTCAAACAGTCTATAAAGTGCTCCTTTGATTCACAAAACTTATCTGTGTTTGTGTGTGTGTGTCTGTGTGTGTGTGAGTGTGTGTGTTCTTCTTCCCTGGGAAAGGACTCTTAGTTCCTGACCCATGGCTGACAGCCAGAAACACAACCGATGCTTTCTCGTGCTGGATACGTGGCGATGTAAGGACAGGAGGGGGTTACATCCATGCATCGACTTAGGATTTCCCTCCTTGGGTGAAGAAGAAAAAATATATATATAACAAGTTTTTTTGGCTTCTTGTAACTGACGTGAGACAGTCCGTCGTCGATTTCCGCTGCTCCAAATAGTTTGTAGATAAAGATCTATTTTTTTAAAAAAAATCTCTTGCCTGCCTTTCCCGCGTAGCAAGCAAGAAACGCCACCCCACCCAAGACGTCCTGAAAGCAGATTCCAGCTTGCTACGGGAGGATAAAAGCTGCAGTTGTCCGAGCAAAAGGGGAATTTGGGTCCCCCCCCCATGTCGATCGCCCCTCCTATTTCCAGGCTGCCAGTACTGAAATGCTTTAGTGGGGGGTGTTGGGAGAGGGACAAGTCTTCAGAAAACTCCCAAGAAGACTGGCTATCGGTAAAGTCGGGAGAGAGGACCCGCTCACAGAATGACACTCTTCCCAACCAATGACACGGCCTCCCAACCGACTCCTGTCGTCCACGAGCGAACGCATCCGGTGCATCCACCGCCAGCGGTGGCGCGCAAAGCGATAGAGCGTCCCCGGCTCACCAAGGGGGCCAGCCCGGTGGTAGCCCCATCCTCCTCCGAAGGGGACACGTGAAGGAGGAGGTTTGATCCTTTATCCAGTTTCTGCCACCAAAAGGGAAGGGGGAAAGCCTTCCGTGTATCAGTTTGTGCCTCTCTCTCTCGATTTGCGTCACGTCAGGAGGCCTGCAGTCATCCTCGCTGCCATCTCCGAAGCGGGAGGGAGAGAAGTGGCAATCCCAACCTGGAAATGATCGCCTAGAATACGGCCCCCAGAGAGAGCGAGGCCCCGGCCAGCGTCCAAGCGGTGTGTGGCGGAGGCTTGTCTGAATGAAGTCCGCCCCCTCCTTCTGAGCAGGGAGTGTCTGAGAAACCAGTGGTGGCCACCTGTGGGGTGAGGGCTCGTTTTGTCATGCACAGATCCCAGACAGCAGGGCTGACAGTCGGCGCTCGATGCACATTTTACCTGAAAAAGAAAAAAGGGGAGTTGATTGTTTTACCATCTGTCCCGCCACTGGACACACCTTTCACAAGGCCCACCAGGTGCTTCCGGGAAGCGCGTGGGGCCAGGTGGGGCTTTTGCCCAGCGGGGCTTCTGATGGGCCACTGGAAATTTGATTGGCTGAGCAGCTTTTTAAAAACATTGCTTTGGCAACAGCTGCCACCACAGCACAAGGATGTTCACTGTGTGACTGAAGGTATACTACGGCAGCCATTTTGTGGCTGGCTCCACCTTAGGGTTGCCAAGTCTATTTACCTTGGTGGCGGGGGAGCCTCGCCGGGCTCCGGGAGCTTTCGTTGGACGTGTGTACATCACCGGAAGTGACGCACGATGTCGACACGTTGAGGGCGTGGCCCCAATCGTCGGAGGGAAAACCATAGAGTTTCCCCTCCAACTATAGGGGCCACGCCCCCAACGTGATCGGCGTGGTTGCGTCACCTCTGGTGACACAGCCATGCTGTGCTTCGGGGGGCGGAGTTCCCCCCGGGGCCCGATTCCGCAGCGGCGGAAATCGGCCCTCCAAAGTGGGGGGTTACCCGCCCCCCACCCCCACTTGGCAGCCCTACTCCACCTCCTGCAGCAGCCATTTTGTGGCTGGCTCCACCTCCTGCAGCAGCCATTTTGTGGCGGTCCCTACCACGCTGCACCAGGATTCAAAAGGTGCTCATGGCCTTAAAAAGGTTGGGGACCTCTGCTCTAACACCCCAGCCCCCCTTTAAATCAAGGTGCCTGGTACATGCTTTTAACTTCTAAAGTGGGTGATCTTAATACTGGATCTATTGCATTTCCCAATTCAGGGGGTGGGGGGAGTTCCCAGGGTTTTGGGGGGCTGCATCACTCAGGAGCAAGGGGTCCAAGTCTGGAGGGGGTTAGGCCAGATTAGTCTCCAGTGCCCCCCCCCAAGAGTGTGCAGCAATTTCATACACAAATACACCTTCTTGGAGAAGAGATCAGAGTGTGACTCTTGGACTCCTTTAGGCCTGCTGGATGCCTGCACAGCTAAAAAAGCGCCAAAAGTCATTCTCTGCTCCTTCCAGGCCTTCTGATGGTAGGGATTCCCATGGAGGTAGGAGAACGTGATGCATTTGTACCTCTCCTTGGCCTTCCAGCAGTTATGCGGCACCCGTCTGTAGCATTTCTTAGCAAAGGTGCAAGGCTCTTTCCCCTGCAAGGCTAACTCCTATCCTACCAGTAGGAAAGAGCAAGAGTCCAGTAGCACCCTAAAGACTAACAAAAATTGTGGCAGGGTAAAAGCGTTCGCAAATCACTGCTCCTAAAGGTAAAGGTTTCCCCTTGCTTGAAAGCCAGTCGAATCCAACTCTAGGGGTGCGGTGCTCCTCTCCGTTTCCAAGCCGAAGAGCCAGCGCTGTCCGAAGACGTCTCCGTGGTCACGTGGCTGGCATGACTAGACGCCGAGGCGCACAGAACGCTGTTACCTTCCCACCGGAGCGGTGCCTATTTCTCTACTTGCAGTTTCTTGCTTTCGAACTGCTAGGTTGGCAGGAGCTGGGGCCAGAGATGGGAGCTCACTCCATCACGCGGCACTCAGGTCTCAAACTGCTGAACGACCGACTTTCCGGTCAGCAGTTCAGCGTCTTAACCACTGAGCCACCGCGGCCCCCTTCCCTGCTCCTACCCTGCCACAAATTTTGTTAGTTTTTAAGGTGCTCCTGGACTCCTGCTCTTTTCTACTGATGCAGACAGAGTAACGCAGCCACTCAGCTTGCCCTGACTCTGCCCGAACCCTTCCTGAGCTCTCCAAGCAATGGCGGGCCCTTACATTTGTTAATGTTCTCAATGTCTCCTTGCTCCGTGATGATGCTCAAGAGGCCCTCCATCAGCAGCAGCGCCTTGTGGTATCTTTGCGCGCAGTCCTCTCGGTGATGGAACATCTCGTCCAGCGCCGCGGCCTGAACCTGGAAGAGAGGAAAGCTCTGGTGGTCCTTCTGCCGTAGAACACTGCTCGGGCCTCTCGAGACAAGACCGGCCCCTCTCTGCAGGCCCACCCCGGGAAGACCCACACTACCTCTCTGAAGACGTCCTGGAAGATGGTTGCGGTGGTGAGTGAAGGGTGGAGTGCCAGGGGCTTGGCAAGGAACGTTGCCAGACTTGGGGCCAAACTAGACGAGACCCCCCCCCCCCCGAACTAGGTCTGGGTTAGAATTATAGAGTTGAAAGCGGCCGTACGGCCCATCTAGCCCCACTCCCTGCTCCGTGCAGGATCAGCCTCAAGCATCACTGACCAAGCCCGCTCTCATTCCCTGCAGTCAGACAGCAGCTGTTGTTCCCATGCGCTGCAGGGGCTCTGTTGGATCGAAACTGCAGCACAAAAGGAAAAGGGTCTTCGCCCTCTTCCCAGCATGATTTCCCTAACTCAGGGGTCATTTCGAAGAAAAAGAGGTGCAGGAGCTCATTAGCATGACTTATTTGCATATGCCACACCCCCTGACATCATCGGAAATGTGT